ATAACTGAATAGGATTGAAATTAAATTATTTTTTAAAAACAGTAAAACAGTAAACAAAAATACAAAAAAGCCTTAAGTCCAAAAAAGATAGACAAATTCTGTCGATTTGATTTTAATAAAGATTCATGGTTGCTTAGAACTGCATAGGTGCTTATTCAAACATGCGGACCCGATTACTCATCCAATTAACCCCTGGCTAAATACCGCAGACCTTTATGGCGGCCGTTAAATACAAGCTCCTCATTCTACCAGTCATGTCTTTTATTTATTGATTTACAATTTTACATACCGCTGTTTGCGCAGGCAATGTGCACAGGTGCATGTTTGGTTTCGAAACAGAAAAAAGTCAGGTGAGTGAGACGATCCAGACGAACCAGCCGACATCGGTCGAAATAAACAAGCGATTGTGTATGCAAGACATCGCTTTTGAACATTTTTCGTTTCGATTCGGCTACAATAGATGAGAGACAAGGCCCCCAGTGTGGGTACTCTGTAGTACACCGCATCGCTTTAATGATGAAACCCGCCCTATGAAGACATGCGGTGCATTTTAAGCGTTTGCAGCAGTCGCTTAACCGTTACCATAAAGTTCAAGAACTTGACGCGTTTCTAACTGCAAAAGCGTTAGAGTTTGAATCGAAATCGGCCTGCCTTTGGCATTAACCCGCTTGAACATCGGGGGCACAAAAACTCCATTCACAATAGAAGCTGCAATTGCGATGCATTAGGCTGTTAATAAAGGAAAACTGTGTTCAATATAGTAATTGCACCATGCAAGTCTCAGACCAGAAGCAGTAGTAACGGCAAAAGGTAAAATATTAGCACTACTAATATCAAATCAAAAAAATAGAGGAGCCCTTAAATTTCTGGGTAAAAATATTTAAAAATATTTACAAAATATTTAAATCCTAAAATATTTCCTGATAATTAATAACATGAAATAGAAAGCTAATCATATCATTAGATTATTTTAATAATTTTACATTAACATTTTGTAAACCACATGCTCAGCCGTTTTGAAATGTTTGACCATGTAATTGGAAAGTAAATAATTCCATTTAAACCGACAAAACGATGTCGAGGGGATGTGTTCTGATTAGCCAGTGCTATTATTTTAACCGCAGCTGTTTACAAAGTACTAAACAAGGCACATGCATAGATAAATTTACGATGCAAATTGCGGCAGGCATAAACGGCAACACCAATAACAATGGCCAGCTGACCCCGTTATTTGTTGAACTGTACACGAAAAAACGATAAAGAAAATGAAAATCGCATGCATATATAGCATATAGCATATGGCCCTGCCACAACAACAAAAACATCGACCAACATGCAATGGGGCAGAAAGATGTACGACACCCCCAAAAACCTCGGAGTGTGAAGTTGTTCGATACATAAAAACAATCAATAAAAATTAGGCTAAATCCGTGAGGGGGAGGCTGTGGGAGGTTGGGGTGAGGTGTTGCCACACCGCCACAGCAGGTGTTTTGCATATGTACACAGGGAAAATATTTTTTAATTTATATTAAGGTATTTCTTTTTTACAGATGAAATATGTTTTAATCCAAATTATATTTTAGAAATAAACTAAAATTTTTTGGAGTAGTCCTAGTTATAAAAAAGATTAAATCAATCGGTATTATTAAAGATTATAAAAAATACTTGAAATCGTTAGTAGTCAAAAAAACATTTTTAAATAAATAAAAATTTATTTGTAATTTGATCTAATCTAATCCTAATACTAAAATTGTAGGTATACCACTTTAATTTTTTTTATCTGTAAGGAAGGATACAAATGCGCCCCACCCACGTTAATACCCCCTGCTGGTGCTAAATTCATATGATATGATTTAATAAACACAAGCGGTGGCTTGATTAACAGCTGAAGTAGTTGGCGTTTGGCGTCTATAGTGAGCCACCGGCAATTGAAACGAAAGCCAGACAACAACACCTTGATTAATTCGATAGAAAACAACAAGAGACCGGGAGGCGAAAAGCAAAGCAAAAGTGCCACCAATTGTCACATTGACGCAACTCGAAGCTGAAGAAAATAGTGCAATTGGAGTTAATTAAAGAGGCGATAGCGTAACACTGGCCACCGTTAATTGCCCATCTTGGATGTTGGCCGAAACGCGCAGTGGTGGTGACACCAAGCCATCATTGCCAGACACGCCTGAGATGATACCATTTTCATTCCATCTCGGCTAATTACTTTCACTCTCTTTTTTTTCCCCCACAAAAAAAACACGCAATTTGTCGATATGGATTCAATTATTTATGAAACGAAAGCGAAACTTCAATTGCACGGTGTAATCTAATAGATACTATTTCGTCATTACGAGGCGGCTTCTAGGCGAGCGAGAAATCGAAACTGAAAGTTGCGACTATTGGGTAACGACAAGGTGTACGTTCATCTCTGTGTGTATCCGTTGGCGGGTAATGGGTATTTATTGTCATATGAGTGGCTGTGAGGTTGCTGCTTCCTTTGCTGCGTATTTTTAGCTAGAGCCCCAACTAGTTTAACTAGTTTTCATGATGATCATCAGCATCCTTCGCCTAACTCGCAAGGTCGCTGATTTGGAGCCTGTGCAACTAGTTTCCGCAACATGGTTTGCTCATCTGCCGCCCGCAGCAACACGCGATTTATTCAGACGACAGCGCGCTTCTTGCGTTTTCTCTTTTAATATATTACACAATTAGATAGTAAATGGGTTTTATTTACATTTCCATCGCGATTTCCTGCCCGCACATTGACGGAAGTTTGAACTTTTGACTCGCTGATTTCGGTCGTCGAACTTGCGATAAATAAACGGGAATCGTGAGGGAAATTCTCCTAAAATATGACTTAAAGGGTAGATGGGAGCATATCAGGCTGCCAGTTTATGTATCCACATCACTTTATGCAGATGTCTAGATCAACTTAATATAATCACACTTAAAATAAATCTTAATAAAACGATATACATCATAACAATGATTATGGTTTCCCAAACAAACAAAATATGGCTTACAAAAATTCATAAAAATATGGTATTGCATTTATGCTTCCGGATTTATAATGTCTTCATAATATCTTTGTTGATTTTGATGAAAAATAAAAACAAATAAAAAATAATCACTGTAATAAAAATGTATAATAACTTTGTTATATTAAACAAAAGAATTAGCATATGAAATAAAATATTTCTTTTATAACTTACCTATGTTAATATCTCTATATTATCCGAGCACCTTTACCAAACAACTAAAGACACCTGATTTGGCTTGCAGATTACATATGATTTCATATAATTTATGGTTCGCCTCCTAGGTGCTATTGTTTCATCCGCAGGTGTTGCTCGCAATTTTTGCATGAAATTGGGTTGCTTGCCAACGGCAGAGCCCTCTGAAAAACCCCAACCTCCCACAATTTTCGCAAACATCGGGCCACGCGACCTCTGACGCCAGTGCACCCACGTTTGCATTATCGATTGCTAATCCCCGACATTGGCGGTCTCCGGCAGTCTCGTGTCTCGCGGTTGGTCAATGACCAGTTAAATTTCTAATTATTCTCTCACCCTAGCCTTCTACTTTCTCGATTCTCTGAGTGCTGACTAATTGATTACCATGTTTTATCTATTGCTTTTTCCAGGTACGATACGGCTCGTGATGGTTTCTTGGATCTGCAGGAGCTCAAGTTCATGATGGAAAAGCTGGGTGCACCGCAGACCCATCTGGGTCTCAAGCAGATGATTGCCGAGGTGGACGAGGATAACGATGGCAAGATCTCGTTCCGGGAGTTCCTGCTGATCTTCAGGAAGGCTCAGGCCGGGGAACTGGACTCGGATTCCGGACTGAATCAGCTGGCACGCCTCACCGAGATCGATGTCGAGCAGGTGGGCGTGAGTGGAGCGAAGAACTTCTTCGAGGCGAAAATCGAGCAGCAGCTGCGGACGAACAAGTTCCACGACGAGATCCGGGCGGAGCAGGAGGATCGCCGGCGCGAGGAGGATGAGCGGGCCCAGCGGCGCCAGCAGTTCCAGCAGCGTGCGGCGGTCTTCCAGTAGAGGATCCATTTACTCCCCCGTAGTCTAGCGCGTAATTATCTGGCGTAGGTTAATCGAATGTGGAACTAATCCCGGGAGAAGAGGATACGCTTCGTACAAGCAGAAGGCATTTTTCAAGCATCACATACAGTAATAATATCCATACTAATCGTCCCATATATACACTCGATTTGCTGGCTAAAACAGCATGGGAGTTAAATGTTATCTTTGGAAAAAATGAAGTAATAATTGTTTTCATCATTGTATTTCGGATACGAAACTACCATAACTTTACTTTACAATTATCCAAAAATAACGTTAAATTCCTTATATATATTTTTTATAATCCAAACGAATCGAGCCACTCTAGCCCTCACATAAGCATACATGCGTACATAGATAACGATCATACCAAAAGCGTATTTATAGTTAACCTTTAGTTAAGTGAAAAATGTTTTACCTTAAGATCTATTTTATTGTTTGGTGTTGCGCAAAATATCCTTGTTGAACTATGTTTACCCTTGACGGTTGCCCAAAATTTATGTTTTTTTACTTTTTTGATTTTGTACTTGTAGTGCCATTTTTATTTTCTTCGATTTAAGTTTATTAATAAAAACGGAAATCGATAGTTACGTTAAGCAAATCAATTTGTGAAATTCAACCTACTTTGTATATACAAATCCTACGTTGGCAGTCAATCTTAGTTTCAGTTGTATCAAGTTGGTATACATATGTGGAATATGCAATTAAGTTTCGATTACAGTATTTCATATTTAATGTTAGCAACTAAAGCAATACTAATGCATTAAATACGAATGCACAAGAAAATACACGTACTTTTAGAGAGCGTTTAACACAAACTTATACTGCAATTTAAATAAATAAATGTATATAATACAAAATTATTTTGAAGGCTTTCATATTTATTTTCGTTTATCATTTTATAAAATCGTAAACCTTTAGCGTAGTGAAACCTTGTTCCTGATTAGTCAAGCGCTATTCCGATGTGTTAATACACGGATTAACTTAATCATCAGTGCCCTTGGTAAGCCCCGGTGTTCTTCCCGCTGTGAACTCGTTATCACCTTTGGGGCTATAGTGGGAGACCTCCAAGTAAGTACCCCATGGAGACCTTATGCTTGTGCTGACATGAAGATCCAGAGCTAAGAAAAAAAGTTAATTTGTTAATAGAGCATCTGAGGATTAGAATTTTGAGAGGGGTTTTATCACACATAAATAAAAAATAAATAAAAAGAATTGTTAACATTTGTATTGACAAAAGTATTAAACCAAATACATCTTTTAGAATTCGAGATATATTAACTTACTTTAAAGACCACAGCAGTTGAGCAAACATTTTTGCTACTAGGGATGCCTTTTCTTTGCCCATTTGTCCTAGTCTTCCCCCTACTCTCCGGCGGTCGGCCCTTTTCGAAGGGAATGTCTGCATCTCAGCATATCACATTTCAGGGCATAGCGATGCTGGCAAACAGGACACTCGTGCGGCTTGAGCTGCAGGTGGTAGCCCTTAATGTGTTGGGATAGTCCGTTGCGTCGCTTGAATACCCGCTCGCAGATGCCGCACTTGTGTTGCCTCTCCGTCGAGTGGGTGATATTATGCTGGCGGAGTCCATTCAGCGATCCAAATGACTTTTTACAAATATTGCATACAAAAATCTGAGCGGGCGCTACTTTCTTTTTTAAATTCGATGACATCTGGACCTTCATTTTGGACTTTCTGGGTCTGCAATTGTTCTCATGACGGCGATACAGGCGCCAGTGGGCAAAGGCGATGGCCTGACAGTGGCGGCACTTGAAGCTCTGAATTCGACGATGATTTCTCAGTGGCAAGGATTGACAAATGTAACGCATATGCTGCCGAAGTCCCAAGCGGGATCGAAATAATTTCAAGCAACCACAACAACGAGCGGAAAAATTAGGTATTAACTTGACGAAGTGTGCTTCTGTTCGACGATGGTGGTATAACTTTCTTAAACTGGAAAATTTCTTCCTGCACATCCGACAACTGTAGTATTTTCTATGCTTTTTCCTAGGAATTTTCATCTTTTGGCATTTCAATTGCAATTTGCGATATCTAGCAGCCAGTTTAGCGTAGTTAGCCGTCGCTACATCAAGCTGAGGATCAGGAACAGGTGCTGTCAGTTGAGTAGTTGTGCAGATGAGATCCTTATGATGCATGAAACTGCTCTGCATGTCCAGTATATCAATCTTTTTCCTGGGCTGCGTGGAAATAGGACTATTTTGCCATCCTGGCTGCCAGTAATCCAATTGTTCAGTTGCCACAAATCCCCTACAGCCTTCCATTTTCATGGGAGGATTCATTGGCAAGCTGGGCAAGCTAATATTCATTGGAGGAAGACTTACCATAGGAGTAATATTACTGTGGCTGTGGGTATAATGTTGATTTAAACTATCTATTGTTATAAATTTAGCAGTGCACAAGGTGCAGTTGTGCAGCCGAAAGGCCGCTGAGGATTCGACCACACTATCGTTTAGTACCACAATGTTCGGTTTGACCGAAGTGGGAGGAGCAGGCGGTGGCAGCAGTTCGCAGAGCAAAGGATTTGGTATCTGGCTCACGTTGGTCACAATGGGTTTGCAGGATCGGGGTTCGGGAGCGGTTAGAGGAGGTATACGCTCGTGAAGCAGTGGAGGATCAGCAGGTGGAGGAGCTATATCTGAAGCAGTCTCCGCTCCCTCCACCTTCTCAGTTTTGTACTGAAGCGGCGGCAGTTGCCATTCCTCTTTGGCATAATTGTGCTCCTCGGTCAAGAGTTCATTTTGCAGCATTTCATTAGCCGTCCTTCCGGGTTGGGTTCTCTCCGACTGCCCAACATCCGTATCGTCCGGAATGTTTATGAAGGGATCATCCAGATTAATGATCTCCATGATATCACAATTGTTGATAATGTCTTGGGAATTAAGCATGGGAAAATCGCAGAACTGAAACTTTTGCTCCGTTTCCTCCTGATCGCAACCCTCGTCCTGCTCCAAGCCCATGTCCATTTCGTCGGGAAACAGGTTGTCCAGATTCTCGCAAGCCTCCTGTTTGACACGGACAAGAGGTTCCTGTTTGATCTTTAACTGGCGGCGATAGTTCCTCTGCAATTCACTTTGGGCCATCATCACCACATCAATGAATTGGGAAAAGCGCTCCAGCAGAAGGCAGCACTCCTTGCATATATCCTTGGGCAAGGTGTCGTCCTGCAGGATCTGGAGCGTGGGAAAGCACTTCTGGATCATCCCAAAAAGCTCAAAACTCTTGTCGAACGAGGAACAATTGTTTGAGGAGGAGCCACAAAAGCGACATGTAGCTTTAACACCTGTTGCCGGTGGCTCAGCGGCACTGGCGAGGGTTTGTTTGTGGGTTAGCCTAGCACTAGGGGACACCCTTTCCATATGGACATTAAGGGAGTCCTCTTCTTGAACTCTAACCGAGGGCACAGCACTCTTTTTAAGTGTTTTCCTGTTGTTACTGCAATTGAAGTCCTCATCGACAAAGTGACGACTGCACAACGCACTCCATTTGGATGGCATCCACTGACCACTCCTCTGGGTGAAGTCCTTCCACTTCTGGAGGAGATCTTTTCGTTTAAAGGGGAATCTTTGAGAGAAAATGAGCTGGCTAAAATACAGTTAGAAAACTACTGTTCACTCACCTGTGGAAGGATATGCTGCCGGCGTGCACATATTTATGGCTGCAATTTACCACAGCGCAGTGAGCCGGCATCTCTTGTGATTTAATTGTCCAGGTAAATTATTTGTTAAATTCTGTTGTTGACAAAATGATTGCCAATCAGCTGTTTTTGTATTGCTTCTGGGATGTGCAGTGCTGGAAAGTGTTACATATTATTTGTTGATAATATATAAAATAATGTAAATATATATTTTTGGTTGCAGTGTGTTTTCGACTAACCTTCTTTATGTTATTCTAATTCCAAAGGATTTATATTCATGACTTATTTGAGATAGTACTATTGGCTATTTTTAACTAGTTTGAGTGTTGACTAACGACAAATTTGCAAAATAGTCAGCTGGCCACATTGAATCTTATCAACAAATAAACAGCTGACATCCACCGGCCTCCCCTACCGCCCCCTTCACCAATAATCCGTCACACTTATCAATTAGCGCGTTTATGGCGGTCCCCCGGCCCCGAAAACCCCCTAGATGCTCGTCCCGTGAACATATTTATTTTCTCTCGCCACACGGAAAACTTCCACGGGCTTCAGTCTGTCGATTCGCTCGGAGGCGGTCTGTACGCACAATTTGGCGGAGGAAACGGCAAGGTCAAGCAAGGTCTTTCTTTCGGCCTACGAATAATCCAAATTGTACTCGTGTGTGAGGGTGGTGAAAGGAGAAAGCAAGAGAAATGGCTCAGGTGCGACTGCTGGTACAGGGAGTTCGGCGGGGACTACTCAATGTGGGCGTAGCCACGCCCCACGAATCTGCCGCCCAGGTGGCGACCCAAAAACGAAACAGCTCGACGACCCGCGGGTAAGTCTCTTTAGATTTCGATTCGATAAGATTCTCTCAATTTCGGGTGTGTTCCGGTCTTCAGATACTTTAAGCTGTTTGCAGATTTAGATACTTTTTGGTGTTTGCACGCTCAGATAATCTTCACTGTTCGCAGATTCAGATACTTTTTACTGACCACAGATTCAGATATTTTCACTGCTTGCATATATTTCCAGTACAAGATGAGGACTTGTAAATTTATTCAAAGATTATATCACTAATACTATTTAGAAATTAAATTTTAAGAACTTAAAAATATATTATAATCCTAAATTCAACATCATACAAGACAACGAACTGTTTTATCTCAAAAAATATATAACTTAATAGAATGAAGAGTTGTCAAGAGTTTAAAAATGTAAATACATATGTATATGTATATTATCTCTGAGAAATTAAAATCCGGAACACAATCGGTTATGGTGTGGTAATTTTCAAGTTTCTACATTTCTTCCCCTTAGAGATTATGATCTGGTTGTGGTTGGTGGTGGTATTGTGGGCGCTGCCTCTGCCCGAGAAATTCTCCTGCGTCATCCTTCCCTGAAAGTGGCTGTGTTGGAGAAGGAGTCAAAGCTGGCAAAGCACCAGAGTGGACACAACTCCGGAGTCATCCATGCTGGCATTTATTATAAGCCTGGAACCCTAAAAGCACGCCTTTGTGTGGAGGGCATGCATTTGGCTTACGCTTATTTGGATGAGCATAAGATCCCATACAAGAAGACCGGCAAACTGATTGTGGCCACAGATGAGAAAGAGGTGAAGTTGCTGGAGGACCTGGAGAAGCGTGGCATTGCCAACAACGTTCCGGACCTAAAAATGATCGAAGGTAGTGAGATTCAGGATATCGAACCTTATTGCCAGGGACTAAAGGCCCTCCACAGTCCTCACACCGGAATAGTTGACTGGGGATTGGTTACGGAGCATTATGGCCAGGATTTCAAACGGTCCGGTGGTGATATCTTCCTGGATTTCAATGTCAGCAAGTTCAGCGAAACCAAGGAGGGCACCGATTACCCGGTGACCATACATGGAGCTAAGCCCGGACAGACGGTTCGCACTAAGAACGTCCTGACCTGCGGTGGATTGCAATCCGATCTGCTGGCTGAGAAGACAGGATGCCCAAGAGATCCCCGGATTGTGCCGTTCCGCGGGGAATACTTGCTGCTGACCAAGGAGAAACAGCATATGGTCAAGGGTAACATTTATCCAGTGCCAGACCCACGCTTCCCCTTCCTGGGAGTTCATTTTACACCGCGCATGGACGGATCCATCTGGCTGGGGCCAAATGCCGTACTGGCGCTTAAACGAGAGGGTTACACGTAAGTCTTGTTCTCGAAATTTTCGATAAGATTCCAATGACCCTTTTCCATTTTCTCCTCTTTCCAGCTGGGGTGACATTAATATTTTCGAACTATTCGACGCTCTGCGCTATCCGGGCTTTGTTAAGATGGCCAGTAAATACATCGGCTTCGGGCTAAGCGAGATGTCCAAGTCGTGGTTCATCAACCTGCAGATCAAGGCGTTGCAAAAGTATATCCCGGACATTACGGAGTACGACATCCAGCGCGGACCCGCGGGAGTGCGTGCCCAGGCTATGGATCTGCAGGGCAACCTAGTGGACGACTTTGTCTTTGATCGAGGAGAGGGATCAGGAGCGCTGGCCAAGCGGGTTCTCCACTGCAGGAATGCACCATCGCCAGGTGCGACCAGCAGTTTGGCTATCGCCAAGATGATCGCCGACAAGATCGAGACTGAGTTCTCTATCGGCAAGTGATACCGAATATCTTAACAAAAATCCAAGCAATAGTCCAAACTCGTCTGCAAATCACATTATGTCCAAAGTTATGCTTTTATGGAGTGTCAGTCACGTGCTGCTCTGCCTATCTTGCATTTTGTTTAGTAAATTTTATATATATTTCGTATTAAAATTAAAAATGTAAGAAGTTTTTTGATTTATAGACTAATTATTAATTAAGTTCGAGGATGTGTCGGTTTTTTCTTTGAGGAGAAACCTCGTCTTTGATGCCCAGTACCTTGATTTGTTTTTGTAAAGAATTCTCCTCCAAGCTTGATTTAATCAGTTGTCGGCACTTTTCGTTCAATATTTTCAGGCCATTTGCTGCATGCTGACGCATTTGAGGGTCGCAGGACTCCTCCGCTTCGATGGCCCTCAAGAGCCGATAAATGGGGAGAAGCATGTCTTGGTAGTCCAGCAGATTCTCCATGCCATTTAATAGTTCAGCTAAAACCAAGACTGCTGCCCGCTTAGCGGGCACATAGCATCCTGTGGTTAATTCGCTGTTAACCAGTTGCAGTAGCTCCTGAAAAAAGTTCTGCACCTGATAGGCCAAGAGGCGACAAAGCTGGGCGAGATTGGCAAACGCTGACATACGAAATTCGTGAACAGGGGAGCGGGATCCATGCATAAAGCAATTAAGGAGTAAGCCCTTATATCGATAGGAAAGAGGACCTAAGAAGTATTAGAATGAAAGTCTGAGTTCAAACATTAAATGTGCCGAAGTTACTCACCTAACTCCTGAGCGACTTTTAGGATAGTTTCACCCACAACCAATCGATAGTCAAGCTCAGCCGTCTCTGAAAGGTATTCGTCACTCAGTCTGTCCAGTACTTCAGACTCCATAACGTGAACCAACGACACAAAGAGCCGAACACAATTAAGGAAGGTGTAGGACTCCTTATCCTTGAGAGTGGTCAGAGCCAAAGCTATTATAAGATGACCCTGCGACATGGTTGCGGGATCTCTTTTTTTCAGCAAATCCATCATCATCTGAATGCCATAAACCTGCAGGTGAGATTGCTTGTCTTCTATCAGTGAGCGAGCTTTTTGGAAGGGTTGGATTTTTACAGCTTCGCTTGGGCGCCATGCCCCGTTGATTAAAGTAAGCAGGGATTGTACAGATTGCTGGATGAGAGGGTTGGAGGACTGGCATCCCAACTGACGCAGTTGATCCTTCAGTTCTTTACTGCCATCTGAGAGTCGAAGATCCTCACTGCCTTCAAAAAGTTCTTGTAAAAGGTTTAGGACGAGGAGTAGAATATGGTCCGTAGTCTCCTGTTCTCCAGATCGTTGCAGTAACAAATCTTGTAATATAAGCAAAAACGACTTGGTTTGCATAGCTAACTGAGCTCTTAATGGTTGGTGGGCCACCATTTGGTTAAGTGCAATAAGCAAATCTAGCTTAAGTTGATACTTGGAGTGCAGAAAGTCCTTGAGTTCCGTTTCCGATGAAATTAAATCTACACTGGCTGAAGTCTTCTCCTTTAACTGGTTGCCCATAAAACCCAAAAGTGCCAGGAAAACATTGCAGGTGAGGGAATGATGAGAGCTGGATACGAGCAGTCCAGGCAATATCCTGCCCATATCATGATCCACTTCGTGTTCCTTGTGGGCTACTTTAACCTGAATTTGATTGGAGTTCGTTGGAGGCAGAATGAGAATGCGCGGGTGAAGGCACTTCCAAGCAGGTTTTTCTTTAACCTTCCACTTAAACAGTCTTTTAAGTATTTCAGGCAATTCCTTTTCCCTGTCCCTGTTGTCCAGACAACGTAAGATGATTCCAGAAAGTTGTGATGTTGCTGGTAGTTCCAAAGGTAAGCTGTCGTATAGTTGAAGTAGCAGGGGAAGGTAAGGTATTAATAAGTTACTGGGTAAGCAAGCCACGCTGGAGGAGCAGAAAAGTTGCTGCCACAAGAGTATGTTATTGCAGAGCTCCTGGTGATCCATTAATATAAGGCCATTGATAACATCTTCTGGGTCAATAAGGGTTTCCCAGTGTTTCGATAATATCTCCTCTATCTTTTTCTGGTTTGTAACACTTAAATCGTGGAGCCTTCTAAGGGTAAGGACGCCGGCACATATTTTGTCTGCATCTTGGAGGTTAAACTTACAAAACTCCAATACCTGGAGAATCATCTTCTGTTGGGCCAGTTGAGAAAATCCTTTTCGAGCTACAATGCTAGCTACTATTTCGGCATTTCTTGTAGGATTCACGTTGGGAGTTTGTTGCAGCGCATCTACAAAGCTGCCAAATCCTTGGGGTGAATTTAGCTTTCCCAGAAGTTGATGATGCAACAATTTTGCCAAAGGTGTGCAAAGAGGAGTGGCTTTCAAGAGCAAAATGTGGCGGAAGAAATCCGCTTTGGATTCCTGTTCCCAGAGGTATGAAATGGCCTTATCCAGATGCTCAGATTCTTCCTGAACTCGTAGACTCATAATGGCGGCCAAGAGATCCCTTTGCACCAGCTCCATGGAGTTGGCTATGTGAAACTGACGGATGGGCAGTAGATTTACAAAGAACTGAACGTTAAGCAGTAGCAGAGAAGGATTTGCCTTTACTTTGCCTTGTGCCTCAAGAAATATTGGCGACTTGTAGAAATCCTCATGAAGCTGACATCGAAGTGAATAGTATGACAACTCCTGGATAGCCTGAATGCAAAGTTTAAGGTGCGCCACCGATATAAGATCCTCCTTTGCGTCGCTATGAAAATTAATATTCCTCGTGATCGAATGAAGCACATGTTGCAGTCTGAGTATATAAGATACGGTGGGATCTGTCCCCGGATCTATACTAGATTCTTGATCGGCTGTTAATTGATATTCCAAACATAATTCATGTAATTGCTTATCCAACTCCAGTTTAGCATATTTTTCTAGAATAAGCAAGTTGTTCACCAAGGCATCAGGGATCTCAGAGTTATTTACCTTATTTGCTGCAATGATAGCATTATAAAAATAATTGCATATATTAAAACATGTCAAACCAATTACCTAGGGCCTTATTGAACTTCAAATTCTCTAAAAGCGCAAAGTATTTAGCCGTATTTATCATTGTTATCGCAGAAAATTTAAGTTTTTCTAAATTCGCGACTATTTCTAGAGATGAGTGTTTACAGCGATGCAATTGCCATCGATAACATAAACAGAATGCTGATAAGGTGTTGGTTTCAAAACAAAGTTTTTCGAATGAAATACAGATATCATTTGCAATTTAGCAAATTGAATAATGAAGATTAAATCTAAACCTAATCTTCCATTTTTAATCCTTCTTTTTAATATGATATAACTTATAGCTATTTATCCCAGAATTTTAGCTATTTTTTGCCAATCGATAGTTGGCTGGACTGGCGGCGGATTGCGCATCTGACTGCAGCTCACCACTCTGGTCACACTGGCCCTACGAACAACTTAACAAGAGCAGCAGGAAAATCGAACAACTTTCTTTTTCCCCTGCAGTGTGTGTGTGGATGCAAAAATACAAAGTGCGCAAAATAGCTTAAATCAGCTAATCGATTCGACTCGAACGTGGATTAATTGGCCAGCGGCACCGACGCCCCAATCACCGCCAGTCGCCCCCGCAAAAAAATTGCCAAAAACACCTACGCGCAGGCAATTAAGACCGTGTAATTGGTTGTGTGTGCGTGTGCCCGCGAGTGTGTGTGTGTGTAGTGCTGCTGGGCAGTAAACATTTTCTGGTGAAAATCCGGGGAAAATGAAGAAAATCCTGTCCAAGTTCGAGCGCAATGAGAACTCGCGACTGGAGAACCCGCCCAACAGCAGCAGCTCGTCATCCTCGAACGAAAAGAACAGCTTTGTGGGCAAGGTCTTTACAGTGGGACGCGTCACGGTCACCGTGGAGGATGTCCTGGCAGAAGGTATACCATTTAGACTCCTATCTATTTCCCCTATCTCCCAACACGTTGCTCGGCGATTATGCTTATCACCGGGCTGATTTACAGGTGGGCAGTTGCCTACATGCCCTCTTTCGTTTCTCCCCTTGCCAGATTAGATAAAAAACCCGGTTATTTACAAATGGGGGCGTACACAAACCGCTGAAGATCATTAAAATCAGCTGCGTATCCCCTTAATTGGGGCGCCACTTGTCGCATTTCTGATTACACTTACGGTGGAAATTACCTAACTCATACACCCCCAATATCTGCAAAAAACAAGAACTTTCAAAATATATGTATTATTTGCAAATCTCAGTAATTTTTTGAGTTCATAACTTAAAGCTAATTAAGATTAAATGTTCTCTTATCTGTAGGATTCCCTTAACAAAATCAAAAAAGGGTTTCAATTATCATTACAAAAGTAACACAATATATTTAAATGAGACAAACACTCTAAAACGTTTTTAACTAAACCAAAACGCCTACAACTTAGAATTATGTATGGTACACATGTTGGTTTGAGTTAAAGAATCCCGACTGTACAAACAGAGTCACAGTTCTGGTTGGTTTTTCCATTGAATACCCATAGAATTCCCGTAGCTACTACACATGGCCACAAATCAATTGAATCAATTATGTTAATTTAGCCAATGAAGCGGCAAGACCAACACTCAACCGCCTTCATCTGCCGACTGTCTCCCAGTTTTCCGTTTTCCACCTTTCGCCGAGCTAAATGGCAAAGTTCGCCCCTAAGGAGGAAATTGGCCGGGCTTTGTCCTTGTCCTTGAAATGTGGAGTGCGCAATATCCTGCAGTGCAAGTGCCTCCTCCTTGGCTTGGCACAAACACCCGCCATCTAACATTTGATCATCACACGATTGCTCACACAATGCCTTCCATTCCATTTGCTACCTTCCTTTTTTTTTTTTACTTTTTATACTCGTACTTTTGGCAAGCGGACTCGATTCGTAATGTTATTTTGCGCTGCGCTGGCGCCGCTGTCAGACAGTCAGCTGTTGTCAGGTATACCCTGGAGTTGCGCTGGGCAAAGAGCGTACCGAACTGTTCCTCATTTTCTTGAAGTCTTCTTAATAATTTTAGGGGGCCTTGAATGTGAAAAGTATGTACCTTTTCCTCGGAAAAACAATAAATGTAAATTCAAGTAATAATAAATCTAAATTTTTCAAAAGGCAATAAAAAATGTCTGACGAGGAAAAAATATATTTAATTTGATTTTATAATCCAAATTTCTTAGTTAAAAAACTATCTGGATAAAATCTTTTTAATTTAATATATTTAATATATTAAAAAGGTAGTTGAAACTTGGTTTTAATAATATCGTTAAATTATTTATGTGAGGTTCTTTTATTAAAAGCTCTTTTGTGGCTGTGGACTTTAAATTAATTAAAATGTTGTTAGTGATTACGCTTGTTTTAAATTCCAACCAAATGAATACCTACTGCTTAAATTGCTGGGTATTTCTACAGTTAAACAGAGCTTAATCACCTTAAATTTACCTGCTTTCTTTGGCTTAACTTTTGAGCACCCAACAAGACAGCGACAGTAACAACAACTATTGCAAATGACTAAGCGTCAAACGGTTAACGAATGGAGCTTTCCCCTGCACCCCACCTTAACCCCTTAGTGCCCACATTGCACTTGGCTCCACTTTTTCTACCCTCGATTGCGTTTCAAATTGCCTTCTCAAGTTTTCTCGCTTCGCTACAATTGTGCATTGTAATTTTCATACTATTATTACTAGATGTCGTCGTTTACTTTTTGCCAAAGTTGATTTGTTGCTGTTGGCTGGCAACCTTCAGCATTGATTAACATTTGACGCCATAATTTCACAAACTCGAGCAAAAATGGTTGCATTCGTTTGTCTGCTATACATTTCTCTCTAGTTTGTACACAGCCAATAATTTATCTTATTTATGGCATATTGTTGTACATTTTAGTTCAAATGATGTATTAGAAAAATAATTTTTTTATGTTATAAATATTTTTCTGTAAATTTACAAATGAATTAGGAAAAATATGTTGTTAATCCACAATTTAGTTGATACTTTTTCTCAGTGCCCATGCTCCCTATCTCTTTCTCCCACCCCCTTGATCTTCCCCCGTTGAGTATTGTTATTGTCGCATGTTATTGTTGTTATTTCTGTACGTGACCTTCAATAGTTTATTTTATATTGCGTTGCCTTTTTATCGTACATTTTGAAGTGGCGCAAAGCGACAGGTGGAGAGGGTCTGAATGTGGGCTGTTCTACTTGAATTCTATTTGCAATAAAATGAAATAAACCTCATGCAAATCGCCTGTTAGGCAAAACATTTGTAAAACGTTCCATGGCCAGACAGTAACTGCTATCGCTCGAATTAAGATACCCTGTAGTTTGAGTTCCTCTAAGTGCATGTTTACACTCCGCATGAGAATGTGGATTATGTAAAAGAATGAATTGGATTCAGATCACGTATTTATCGCAAACTTATATACAGAAAAATATTTTAAAATTTCGAATGGAAAATGGTCTTTCAAACACCAAACTGTGTCCCTTCGATTAAGATCAGATTTACAGCATTTTATAAAGGTTTAATTTTTAGTCTTAATTCCCAGCTAAACAAAATTTAAGAAATTTTTAATTTTTTACTGGTATTAATAGTAACTACAGGGTATTCATCGGTTTGTGTTCTCCTCCATTTTATTCCCCTCATTCATTTGAGCTTTGCTGCTTTACAGCTGACAGCTGTTATGGATGTCTAGTCCGTCAACTTACCCCCACTAATGCTCTGTTTTTCTCTTCACCCATTCCCCCGACACTCACGCAGGTGGCTTCGCCATGGTTTTTTTGGCCAGGGGAAACGGTGGAGGCAGTTCCTCGGCGACCAAGTACGCCCTGAAGCGAATGTACGTCAACAATGAGCACGATCTGAATGTAGCCAAGCGCGAAATACAGATTGCGGTGAGTAAATAAATCAGGACAAACAAACCTAATCTAATAGAACAATCACTTTCACTCCCCCAGAGCAACCTGAGTGGGCACAAGAACATCATTGGTTACGTGGACTCGAGCATCACGCCTACCGGGAACGGGGTGTGCGAAGTGCTCCTCCTGATGCCCTACTGCAAGCATCACATGCTGGCCATGATGAATGCAAGGTAAACAAAATAAATCAATAAAAAAAAGTTAAAATAGTCCTGAAAGTCAAATATAATGTAATAATATTCTCTCACAGATTACACGTTGGCTTCACGGAGCCCGAGGTGCTCAACATCTTCTGTGATATTGCCGAGGCGGTCTCCCGATTGCACTACTGTCAGACCCCGATTATTCACCGCGACCTGAAGGTGGAGAACATCCTGCAGACGGACTCTGGCAACTTTGTTCTCTGCGACTTTGGATCGTCGACGGCCAAGACGCTGAATCCTCAGCAGCACGGAGTCACCGCGGTGCAGGAGGAGATCCAAAAGTACACCACATTATCTTACCGGGCCCCTGAGATGATCGATCTGTATGGAGGAAAGAGCATCACCACCAAGGCAGACATCTGGGCACTTGGTTGTATGCTTTATAAGCTGTGTTTCTTTTCGTTGCCTTTTGGGGAGAGCACACTTGCCATCCAGAACGGGCAGTTCTCCATTCCAGACACCTCGAAGTATTCGAAGGGCATGCACCAACTGATAAAATATATGTTGGATACGGATCTGGAGCGGAGGCCGAACATTTGGCAGGTCTGTGAGGTGGCCTTTCGGTTGGCCGGCAAGGATAATCCTGTTCAGAATCTTCATGTAAGTGTGGCTAAATGCAGGGCCAATTAATACTTAAAAACGGTTAATATATATATTTTATTTTAATACAGAAAACTCCCATTCCAAACTTCGACCTTCTGTTGGTGCCCCCTTTTGAATCGGAGGCTAAGAGGATCAGTGCTGCTGCTTCAAAAGCAGCTAAAGCCCAAAATGTGTCGGTTGTGGAGGCGGGGACCAGCGTAGCTCCTCGGTCGCGGCCCAAAGGCTCCTCTTCGGTACATGGAGGAAATCCCTTGGGTCTTGGTTTGCCCCCCAGCCCCTCTCCAAGGCAGAATATTACCTCTCCGCAGCCTCAACCTCAACCTGTGGTGGAGCAGTTCCAGGCCAACTTCCCAACTATGCCACCAGCAGTTCCCCCCTCTTCTCTGGCCGTTACTCCAGCAGCTCCCGCTGCTAGTAAT